CAGGTCATGATCCCAGGGTCCTGGGATCGATGCCCCGCATTGGGCTCCCTCCTCCGCAGGAAGCCTGCTTCTCCCTTCCCCACTCCCCCTGCTTGTTTTCCCTCTCTCGCTGTGTCTCTCTCTGTCAAATAAATAAATAAAATCTTAAAAAAAAAAACAAAACACCAGACTATAAATAGGGCAAAACCCCAAGGAAATACTTAGAAGCAACAGTCCTCACCTCCCTTGCACCCCCTCCTATAGAACTCTCCCGACCCCGACTAGAACCTTGTAACACTTGCTAATTCCCACCCTCTGGTAAGTCTCTAATACCATGCCATCTGTAATCATCCTAAGGGCGCCAGTAAAACCTCCCAAATGATTCAATGAAAATTCACTTTAACTGTTGAAACTCTAACTAGAGCAATTAACTGAGGCACATTTATTGACTTAAGAATTCTTATTTTTTTTGGCTGCCCTCAACTTTGAGGGGAACATCAACAGACAAGCCGTGAGGAGAGGACCTCTTTCTTCCATCTCCTCTCAAAAACCTGACTTCTCTACTTTGTGCTTCTGCAGTTCCAGACGGTGAGGATTCAAGTTCACGCTAATGACGGGGAGGCCTCCGTGATCTTGGACAATCAAAAGATCTATTGTGTTCCCTTTACTTACAAAGGCAGTTAAGTGGACCAGTGTGCTTTATAATTTCCAACAAGGCTTGAAACAAAAGAGGTTTTCATGTTAACCCTCAATTCTCAAAAAAATTCAATTAATGTGCTCCATTCTCAGCATTTTGGTCAGATGTAATTTTAGCACATAATCCCTCGTTATACTTTCAAATTTCAGGAGGAGGATTGGTATTAGTGACTTAAGGTCAGACCTTTAAAACTGGCATCCGCTTGACTGGTATAGACGGAAACAGGTATAGAGTAGGAAGGTTCCAGTAAATAAAAGGAGAGGGGTCTGACACACATGGAAAATCTCCAAATAGGATAATGCAGTTTGAAGCTTGTGAGGAGGCCAGCAGGATCCAAAAGGCTTCTGGGAACTGGTCTGCTTGTGAGCAGTCTAGCAAAACCCAGAATTAGGGATGGGGCATCCCAGTGGAGGGCAGGGCCTAGAGCCATCCCTACCTCACCCCTAGGAGACATGGGAATCTCAAGAGCCCCTTTTCCTCCCTCTCAAACCCTCCTAATTCCAAGACCCTACTTGAAGTCATCGCCTCCAGAGAGCCCTCCCTGACCCCTCAGGCTGGTCCTGGGGGTCCTCACGAGCCTCCCTGTCCTGGTGAGCTTATTCATCCTTCTTCCCAGCAGCCAGTTCAAGCCTGGTGGGTGTCTTAATCCATCTTTGCACTTCCAGAGCCTTGCCTAGTGCCTGGCACACAGTGGGCACTTAATAGACGCTTGCCGACTAATTCTCATGTACTCCGGAACAACACAGTGTGAAACCTGACTTTGCGCCATATAATCCTGGGCAAGTTATATCACTGTCCTCATCTATAAAAAGGGGTTGGTCACCAAGATTAAATTAAAATAAGAATGTCTATAAAGTGGTTATTGGAAGCTCTGGTGCACAGTGAGTTCTCAAATCCTTCCTGTTTATGATCACTGCACACAGGAGGTGAAGGCTGAGGAAGGTTCACTGCTCCCCTTCACCCCAACCCTTTGCTTTCTTGTGCTGCCAAGGGAGGGGTGGACTGATGCTTACCGAAGCCACAGAGGAGGTGCTAGCTTGGCCAGGCCCCACACAGAAGGCCTGCGTGCCAATGCCTGTTCTAGCAGAAGGAGAAAATAGAATTCCCCAGCCGGCCAGAGTCCACCTGAACCAATTCACTGAGCTCACTTACAGACGAACCAGTCAAGAGCTTCACATGCCCAAGGAGGGCAAAGGTGTACAAGGAGCAGGCTCTGGAGGCAGACTGTGCAATCCTGCGTCACCAAGGCCACCCCAACTGCCCTGAGCTTCGGTTTCCTTATCTGAATATGTAAGGTTGCTGTAAGAAGTAACTAAGGCAGGTAAAGCATCTGGTCAATGTGTGCTCGATAAATGCTAACAGGGGGAGGCGTGCCGAGCCGGCTCTCCCAAGCCACACCTGTACACACCTTGCCTAACGCTTCTACTAGACCTGATCTTCACTGTCCCCTCATTTTGCAGAGGGGGGAAAGAGGCAAAGTTAGATGGCCTGATGGGTAAATGGCCAAGGCAGATGGCAAAACCAGCCTGTGCCCTCTCTCATAAAATGCACATGCCACCCACAATGCCCAATGCACGGGGCATTCAGTCAATGCTAACTGCCCTTTGTGGGAACCGCTGCATTTAGGGAGAGGCTGGGGGAGAGCAAGGCTTGGGAGCAAGGCTCCAAGGTGGTTCTGAAGGCAGGAAGGAGGGCGACCATGTGGTCAGAGGCCAGTGGGGGTGGGGAGGTTTGAGGTTTGAAAGTTGGCCTCCACCTCAGTTCAAACCACAGCTTGAACAGGTAGGAAGCACCTGACAACTTGGGGCCTATTTCCAAAGATCTAACAAAAGGTGAGGGGTGTGTTGCGTTAACTCCCTTCGTGTGCCTTGGAAAGCACGTGCGGATTTCCAGGGTAAGAAAAACCCTAGCCCAGACTGCACCCACCCTCCCTTCTAACAGCCCCTCCCAAGAGCCCACCCCAACCCCAGGAATTCCTAGGGTGGGACTTCTTTAGGATTACAAAGGTGATTCAGAACCTGACAAAACACAGAACCTCAGGTGCGAGTGGAGGGCCAGATGGGAAAGAAGTTTGAGTTTTCAAAGATGGAGTCTTCGTCGTTTTTCCTTAAGCCAACTTCCTAGGGCTGAAGGCAATGCTTCAAGTTGCAGAACAACAAGCAGAGCCAGGCAGATTTCTGCAGACTAAAAAGTAATGCTAGCAAAAATGCTTCCCCTGGTCCGTTTTCGTTTCTTGGGTTTTTCCTATGATGGGAGGGGACTCGCCCTTTTGGAGAAGGTTTGAGAGTTTTCTGGCCAGGGATGAGGAACAGTGCTGTCTATAATCATCTCCAAATCAGACTGGCCTGATGCCCAAGTCTAAAAATTACCTGCCCACTTTTGGGGGGCAATCATTGGCGGGTTTAAGAGGACCTCCAAACAAGAGGCATTTTGTTTGCTCGAACACCTTAAGAAAGCTGTCTAACTTCCAAAGCTACTACCACCAGCTGTACCCGGCTGCCTTACCCCGACAACCCCCCTTCCCCTCTCCTCGGGTTTTGAAGTTTATTTTCCCACATTCAGCCTTGAATTCTTTCCTTCCTTCCCCTGCTGTGGCAAAGAGGGAAACACTTCGAGGGCAGCTTGATTCTTCATCACCCGCGCCTGCCCTCTTCCCCCTCTAAACAAAGCCCTGGAAGAAACTAAACAGCAACTAGTTCTCCGGGGGAATTGTTTCCTCAAGGGAAATTATAAAGTGACCACTCCCCAATGCGCACATACAGGGCAGACACTCATCCAAAGGAGCTCCGGCTATCGGGGGCAAAACCACCCAATTGCCCTCTGAAGCTCATCCTCCCCACCAAACCTCACCTCTCCTGGGCCCCCACTCTGGGGACGGCTGCAGGTCCAGAGACTCTCCCCACTAAAATCCAACACCCAACCTGCCCAACCTCCCCTCTGCTGGCCTCTGAGAGGTCAAGTCTTTACTTGCCCAGCTGCTGGTAAGTACCTATATGCTCATGTGTGTGAATGTCCATTGATTTCAGGACAAAAAGGAGGTAGCAAAGGAAAGGCCTCCTCACGTATTCCAAAGCTTTCAACTTTCCAACAGTCCAGGGCAGGGAAGACAGATGAAGACAGGTTCGTTCTCATTTCACACATGGGGAGACTTGAGATGGGTCAAATGAGAGACAACTAGACAACCATAAAATGTTGGGATTCTGCTGTAGATTAAGTGCTGTTCCTCATCAAACCTCCTTTCTGGCATTTTTTGCCCCAAGAGAAATGTAACACCTTGGACAATCTATCCCAAGTCCACCCCACAATCTAGAACCTTCACCAGCTCTTATACCCAGGTCCCGGTCCTTCCACTGGAGGGAGGCCATTAATGCAGTCCAAGAGGGTGGGTGGTTAAGGCTAAGAGCCTCTGAGAAACTGGAGCAGAGGGCCCTGGTCCCCAAACGGACCCAAGGTCCCAACCACCAAAGTCAGCCCTAGTTTATCCGAGTGAGGTCAAAGCCATCCATAGAGCAGGAAGGAGAAGAGGCTCCCAATGCCAACACGGAGGAGAAACTACCCCCTAACACCTTCCATTCTAATCAACCTCTCCTTCCCCCTAAAAAGGATGCCCAGGGTTTTGTTCCTTTGTTCAACCTGCTACTTTCACAAACTTTTAAGTCCAAGCCCTGGGGGAGGAGGGGGACTGTCTCCGCGAGATAAGCCCTGCCGGAAGCGTGAGCGCGTCCCCAGCATTCCAGCCATCGGCCCCCATCCCGGGAGCTCTGGCGGGACAGAGCCCCCTATCCACTTCCTGAGCCCAGCGGGTGCGGGGGAGGGGAGGCTTTGCTCAGGTTGGGGCTGGGGGACCCTCCAGCAACTCCGCTGGGCTCACGTTCGCGAAAAAAACCGGGCGGGCGCGGCACTGGCCTGGAGCTGGGAGGTGGAGATGCGAAGGGGTGGCGCCCGGCTCGACTCCCGAACTCCGGGAGCGTCTCCAAGTAAAGATAAACGCCTTTATCCGCCCTCCAGCCCCCTTCTAACCAGGGAGGTACCCGCACACTCACACCGAGCCACCGCGGGGCCTGGTTCACTGCAGGGTCAACCCCAACTTCTTCTCTCTGGACAAACTGGGTTCCCAAAGAGTCTCCGTGCGTGGGTGACTCCGGTGTCTACGGGTGAACCACAGATCCCAGCAGCCAGACCCATGAGAGACATCCTTTCCTGCCACCCCCCAGGACTACCCACGGGGACTGTGAGTTATCCAAAGCTGTGAAGGGCTTCCCTTCAGCACTCCTAACGCTCTGGCCAGCTTCAAGTGTCTGTAGGGGCACGGATGGCGGCTCACCTGTAAGATCTTGTCCAGGCCCTCCTGGCCCAGGCACGGGAACTCCTTGAGCAGATGCAGTTTCTGTGTATAGTAGTTTTTCTTGGCCTCTTTCCAGTGCGGCTCCTCGAGCACCTCGAAGATCGCTGCCCCGATGGCCAGGTAGAAGATGATGGCCGAGGTGAGCAGTGGGCCCCGGTCCACCATGGCTCCTGAGCGGCCGCCTCCTGGAGAGAGCCTCCCCTAGCCCCAGCGGCTCCCGGTCCACGCGCCCTCCAGCCTCTGGAAACAGCTGTTTGAATTTGGAGCTCCGCATGCGCAGTGCCCTATTCCCCCCACCCGCCGGCGCCGCTCCCCGGACAAAGTTGCTCCTTCAAATTGGCCCACCGAGCGCGGGTAACTGGACGAAGCTTTGCTCCCGCAGGCGGGGGGCGGGGGGAGGGCGGACACCAAGCGGGGGGCAAGGGGGCGCCCTGGCTTGCGGGGGTAAAAGGAGCTGGGGGAACTCAAGGCCGGACTCTGGAGAGACACGTGGGCCGTCCTCCGCGAGCCACGGCAGTGTGCGCCGCGCCCGCCTCCGCGCGCCTCTTTAACCAGCGCCTCGCGCGCGCCCTCCCGCGCCCGGTCCCGCGGGGGAGGGGCCCGCGCAGGCCCCGCCCTCTCGCCTGCACCGCCCCCGCGCAGGCCCCGCCCCGCGTAGGCCCCGCGGCTGACCGGATAGTGGCCGCGAGGTGCGCGCTGAGGAATTCGGTGCTGCGTGCACTTCTCCGGCTGCCGCCAGGGGAGGCTGCGCGCCCCGCGCTGCCAGAGGGGTTGGGGTCTTCGGGACTCGCGTTTGTTATTAGTGCTGGTGGTATTAACTAAGATGAGCGTGTACCTAATGACCAGGGTCGGGAAGTTAGTACTATTATTATTTTCACTGTAATTCAATTTTCATCCACTGACGTTTCTGCCAGGAAAGCTTGATTCTGTCAGTCTCTTTCTCTTACACCCTCCTGTAAACCAGGGGAAAGTGTAAGATTAGAAGGGGACTGGAGAGGTTGTAGAGAATCGGGATATCAGGATCCAGCCGCAAAGGCGAGACTCTCCCCTCTTGCCCCATTCTCACCTGCCCTGGTGAGACAGAACCCCACATCGGGAAGGAGCAGTTGAGGCTGTCCTGTTGTAGACGCCTCTCAGCCACACACCCTATAACTCTCCAGAAAATACCCAACCTCTCCATATTCCCAAGCCTACACTGCAACTCTCACCTACACCCACACACGGGCACTCATCCCCCTTGTTGGGAAATATTTTCTTCCTGCATTCGATATAACTCTAATGTACTATATATAACAGTAAAATGACGGCTGGGGGGTAGGGAATCTGGACTGTTCAATGACATATCCTCAGACCTTTACATAGTAGACACTCAATAAACATTTGTGCAATGAAAGAGTGAATGAATTTGTCAAAAACAGACACTGAGGATGTTTCTCGCTCATCTAGCGCCGTCTATAAACCTCAGGGAGTACCACATTCTTTCTATGCATCATGAGCTGGGTCTCTAATTATAACAGCCTTGCAGTGAGGAAACTGAAGCTGTGTTGGATTAGTTTGTTCAAAATTTCCAACCAGCAACAGCCAGAAGTTGGAGTGGCACATTCCGGCACTTGGTACCAAGGGCTGGCCCGGACCCTCTGTGGGGGTAAGGGCAGCAGTGAGCCAAATTGGTGCATGGCCTTTAGCCAAGGCCTTTTATTCCCCGCCCCACATGGGGAAGGTGAGGGACTTTGCTCAGGTGTCAAGAGTTAGGACAGTTTTTACTGGGTGGTGGGGCGGGGCGGGGGGGAAGGTATCTGTGATGTGTCTGAATTGGGCAGGAGCAGAGGGTCTAGGGATACAGGTTTGAAGGATTGATCTGAGTTTGTGGATGTTTCTGTCTCTCCTTTATGGCACCATGTGTGTGTCTCCAGGAGGCCGGGGCAGGAATCCCTGTGTTTCCTAATTCGGTGTCCCTGGGGACTTAGGGAGGCAAGTCCCCTCAACAAGGCGTCTAAGTTGCTCCCTCTGGATCCCACCCACTCCCCAGCCAGGCCTAGGCCCTACCCCAGGCAGATCCCTCTTCTGTAACTCCTGTCTGCCTCCTACCCACCCTGCACCCAAGCTCTGCAGTCCCACCCTTCAGCCCTCAGCCCACAAGGAGTCCAGGCTTCTGTCCCAGACCCCCTGTGTCTGGAAAGAAAGTCAAGGACTGTGGTGTGAACAGTTCATCCAGCGGGGGTGGGGGCAGTTTGAGAGGCCACAGGCTCTCTCTCTGTTTGGAAAATTCTTCGCTGTTCCTCTCCCACCTCCGGTCTGCGTTCTTTTCCTAAGAAAATAAAGGGCCTCTTCCTATTTCAGTTTCACTGTCTCACAAAAACACTGCAGAATACTTTGGGATGAATCAGGTTTTATTCAAAGTTTTTATAACTTCCAGTTTCTCTATCTTTCCACTTTATCTATTTCTCCATTTCCCAACTCCCCTCTTGCCCTCAGTGTGGTGCTCACTCTCTCCTCATCTCTCCTTCTATGGTCCCGTTCCTTACCTTCCTGTGTCTTCCCAAACCTCTTGACTTGCTCTCCATTCTCGTGCCTCTCTCCCCTTGCCCAGGCTCCTTCTAGAGTGATTGTACTTCTTCTCCTCTCCCCTCACTTCCTCCACCCTCCCAGACCCCATCCACACATTTGGGTCAACAATTTCTGATGGAGATCAGAAGCTATGGCCATTCTCTGCACAACAGCCAGTGGGTGCTTTTGGAAATATAACTGTGCTGGAACCAATGAGTATTAGACTGCTTGAGTCTCGAGGATGGAAAAGTAAAAGTAGGTAAAAGGTGGGGGAGGGATATTTTCTTACACAAGCTGATGTTGGGAAGCAAGAATTTCCTGTACCCTTCTGGATCCTTCTAGCTGGACTAAGAAAATCAAATTGACATGAGACAGATTAAGAGGAGAAAATCAAATTTAATTTCATATTTGCAGGAAGTCCACACAGACATGGAAATTCCAAAGACAGTTGGGCAAAATGAGGTACACATGTCATTTTGAACTAAGAAGAAGGGGGTAGGGGTCTGGGACTTCAAAGGGAAGGATTGCAATTCACAGGAAGATGAAAAAGAGTAAATGTTTGGTAAACAAATGTTTGCTAGGTCACTCAGAAACAATGAGACATAGAGGACTTTGATCAAACAGGCCTTGCCAGATTCCTCTGTCTACCATAGCTAGTTCATAGTGTAATGTAGATATCTGTGGTGATAGCTCTCTTCCTGGAACAGATCCTCTATCTGAATTCTTTTTAGGCAGTTGATGGGGGAAGGTAAAGAGCCTTTCCTGAATCTGCTGGGTTTTGATTGCTTTTTAACTCAAAATAATCTTTACGATTTTGTGTAAAGTGGCCCATCTTGGGGTGGCCTTCCCTTGGCCCCTACACTGACTGATACAATGCTCACGGCTAATAATCATTTCAGAGTGCCATCTTTTGAAAGGCAATCAGCTTTGAGAATGGAGTTGAATTTCACATTGATAGCAACAGGTCACTAGATTTACATGGGTCCCCCCCTAGGAGAAACTGACAGAGCAGATCAGTTGTTTCCCTTCAAGTCATGCTCTGGCCACAGAAGGATCCACACTTACCTTTTTTCTTCCTTGGTTCAGTTAGGTGAAGGAGTTATCCTCTTGGTGAATGAATCTTTGATTATCTTTTTTTTTAAGATTTTATTTATTTATTTGTCAGAGAGAGAGAGAGCACAAGCAGGGGGAGGGGCAGGCAGTCGGAGAAGCAGGCTCCCGGCCAAGCAGGGAGCCCAATGTGGTACTCGATCCCAGGACTCTGGGATCATGACCTGAGCCAATGGCAGATGCTTAACCCACTGGGCCACCCAGGCATCCCTGATAGTCCTTTCATAACACTTACTGCTTTATTTCTTTTTAGGAATATTTGTTTATATTCTCTTTAGGGATTTCAAGGGGAATAATTCCCCTCTGAAATTCACATATTATCTAAGGAGACATATAAAAAGCCATTAAGAACATCGAGTGGTTCAACAACACAATCACTTGAAAACCTTGTTTCTTTAGAAAAAACTTTGTAGCTGTCAATTCAGAAGTTCAAAAGGTTTTATTTTCGTTTTTGTTCCTGTCATGCTGCTTGAAGGATAGACAGTTTTAAATGCCTTATAAAATGGCTTGCATTATGAAAGATTGTCAATTACTTTAATATCTATTAAATTTTCATGTCTACTAATCCTTTGGCTCTTCAGTTAGAAAGGGTCTGAGTAGTAAATTCAATATACCCGATATGACAACCTTCATGTTTTATCCTAGGGAAAACAAAATAAAATCACAGAGCAATAAAGTTGTAGTGAAAATGGTGTGTAAGTATAGTGGAATATTATTCAGCCTTTAAAAAGAAGGAACTTCTGGGACACCTGGGTGGCTCAGTCCGTTAAGCGTCTACCTTTGGCTCATGTCATGATCCTAGGGGCCTGGAATCCAGTCCTGCGTTGGGCTTCTTGCTTGTCGGGGAGCCCGCTTCTCCCTCTGCCTGCTGCTACCCCTGCCTGTGCGTGTGCTCTCTCTGACAAATAAATAAATAAAATCTTTAAAAAAAAAGTGAACTAAAGTTCTCTTTATAAAAAAAAAAAAGGAATTTCTGACACATGCTACAACATGGATGGACCATGAGGACATAACGCTAAGTGAAATAAGCCAGTCGCAAAGAAGACAAATACTGCAAGATTCCGTTTATTTGAGGCATCTTAAAGTGGCCGAACTCTTAGAAACAGAAAATAGAATAGAAGTTGCCAGGGAGTGGGGGTGGGACGGGAAGAGCTGCTCAATGGTTATAGAGTTCCAGTTTCCTAAGATGAAAAACTTCTAGAGGATTTGCTGCAGAATAAGGTGCATGTAATTGACAACTCCTGTGGGGTCCACTTGAAAATGGTAAAGATGGTAGATTTTATATTACACGTTAAGTTTAACGTAAACACACACAGACACACACACAGTGAAAATTAGTGAAAATTGAACTTGTAAATTCAAGGTAAGATATTTGAAGTTACAAGGATTAGCCAGGCATTGAGGAGAGTGACAGGGCTAAGTGGCGGGAATTAGTCAGTAATTAACCTCCAGCAGGGTTTCAGTTACTCTTAATACTGAAGCTCCATGTCCATCATTCTGAGAGCTTG